TTTGAAGGTCCTTTTTACAAAATTTTAATGGTGGTTAAAAATAAAATAGAGAAAAATCATGATCACAAAGTTGACCAATTTTTTGACGATTTTTACTATTTTTTTATAAGTGATGTATGTTGTTTAATCAAAAATACCTAAAAAAGGTAATGATAAATAGTCAATTACATAAATTTAATTGACTGTTTATCATTATCTATTTTGGGTATTTTGAAATAAACAATATAAATAACTTATAAAAAAATAGTAAAAATCGTTAAAAAATTGATCAACTTCATGATCATGATCTTTCTCTATTTTATTTTTAACCACTATTAAAATTTCATAAGAAGGACCTTCAAATACTAAAGAATTTATGAAATGATACCCAGAAACTAAACCGACAACTTCTTTATTGTTAAATATGCCTTAAAAACAAAATTTGCCCAAAATTTACTTATAAAATTTAAATGCATCGATTATTTGACCCCATAATAAAAATTTTGCATGTGACAAATTGTGTAACTGATATTGTTTTAATTCTAACTCTAATTATAAAACAAAATGATTTGAATCAAGTAATAAAATCCAAATCAGTTAACCAAGTTAACTTATCTGGATACAATTGGCTCAACTATATTATTTCGATTAGATTAGTTGACACGAGCCAACTGTCAACTGAATTAACTGAGTAAATTGAATTATCTAGCTAATCAAGTAAATCAGATCAACCAAGCTAATTGGTTAATCAAATTAGGTAAATAACCTAATTAACTGAGTTAACCGAAGGTTGTTTATTAAACTTATTAAAAATTTTTCTTCATTTAAGGGTAGGATATACATAGATCATTTTTTATATGATCTGCATTGCAAATTCTATTTTAGACAAAAAATGAACACAAGCTTATAATAAAAGTTTTTTAAAATTTAATAAAAATTTATAAAATTTTTATAATATATATATTAAAATAGTATATATCTTTTTATAAAATTTTAAAGTTTATTAATTATAAAAAATTTATACTTGTATATATTATAAAGTTTGCCTAGATTGACTCAAATTTGTCTAGGTAGTACAAAATAACCTATTCTAATTGGTTGATTTTTGTAATTCTATAAGATAAACTATATAGTAAAAAATTATATCTAATTTTTAAGAGTAGAGTATATATAGATCATTTATCATATGATCTGCATGGCAAATTTTTTGTGTAACAAATTATATAGTAAATACAAATCTAATTGGGTAATTACCTGTTTTAGAAATATTTTTACTATGTTTTTTTTTGTATAATTCCGGCAAATTTAAGAAATCCTCAGGAACTTTACGATATATGTATGTTTATTTTTTAAAAATAATATAGCCCCAAAAGTTTTACTACTATAAATAGAAGGTTTGATTTATATGTTACAAAATTTTGGTAAAATTTAACTATGATTTTGAGAACTTTTACTAGTGACATATTTTAATTTATGCATAAAATCCCGTTATACCACTAAGATTATATGATAAATGATTGACATATACTCTACCCTTAAATTATTGTATCTCAATAAGTTTAAAACTAATTTTACTACTGTTAGGATTACAAGAATCTACTCTACAACTTTACTTAGAACTACAAAAAGATTTAATTAGTAAAATTATTTGTATTTTATAGTACAAAAAATATTTGTTATCAAGTTTATATATAATTTTAAATTAGTACACCCTACCCTTAAAGCAGACAAAAAAAAGCAAATAAAGAAGCTTATCGAACAATAAAAAGATCTATACGTACGTATTTCTAAACCACAAAATTGAATACGGGTCAACCGATTATGTCAGATCAACTGATCATATCGGTTAAGCATTTAATCGGTTTATCCGAATTTGTTCGGTTCAGGTCGGTTACCCGATTAAGGCCTAGCCGGTTCAAATCACTAGTTTTGACACCTGATCTTAAATATTGATTGATCAAAATTACTGGGGGTGAACAATTTTTTGTGGGAACGCTACCTAAAATTTGACGCATCGGTTGACCCGCTAACCTCCACCCAGTTAACCGACCCAACCGCGGTTGACCCGGTTGATATCCAACCAGGTCGGAACACTACTTCCGTCGCTTTTAACTTTAACATTAGCACCTATTCGTGTAATATGTTATAAAAAATTATTTTATATTTGGAGCCGCTTTTATATTTCCTGTCAAGATTTATTAGTTGACATGAACGCATATACTAAACACATCAAACATGTCAGACAAGCATTTATTGTTATAACGATCTGTCAAATAATCATTAATAATACAAGAATAACTTTATTATATCAGACGAAAAATCATTCGAAAACAGCTGTAAATAATGTGCCAGCTTAAGCTAACTTACTTGAGCTGGCTTGAGCCGGCTCGGTTTGGCTTTTTGAGCCGAGCCGAGCTAGCTCAAGCCGATCCCATCCCTAGTTCTTTTCGCTCCCATATCTAACAAAAACAAAGTAAATATATTTTGCTTAAAATTCTAAATTTAACTTAAGAAAAGACTTTTATTCAATTTACATTTCTATTTTTAAAATACGTTACCTGAATATAACTTTCTGATAAGAAGATCATTTGTGCGTTAATTTCTTCAACGATCAAGTCTTGAATTTGGTACCATTGATCTTTGCCGCGATGTTGAACATGCACTTTGTAAATACCTTTACCTTTTCCCGGCTTACCTTCATGACAAATATTGGCGATTAAATCATAATGTGTGCTAAGATTTTCAGCACTAGAATTTTCTAAGTCTAAAAAAATTGTTGTTAGCGAACAATAAATTAATGTAAAAAATTAAACTACGAACACATAACACATATTTATGGTCACTAACATTCTCCCATATCGAGATTTTTAATAGGAAAATTGACAATTGTTGGATTTTTCTCAGCAGCCCAATTATTTTTGGTGAAGCGTTTTATATGAAATATAATGTAATTAGGTAGGCGTACCAATTGTGACCTTTTTAAAGTACCAGCGGATTCCTAAAATTATTGAATTTAATATAAGCCCGTTGCTAAAAGCTTTATTAATTAACGAATGAAATATTACCTGAGGTGTACGGCCATCGTATTTCGACAATATCGTCGTCAAAGCAATCTAGTATAAGTATATGAAATAATAATTTAAATATTGTAAATATATATACATGTATAGATATGTGTAAATAAGTAAATAAAGGGCAATATACTTGTGGAATAATGTTTTTTTCAACCTCATCTTGGAATAATGGTGGTGGTGGTAAGTCCAAATTTAATAAAAGAAATGGTGACCTTGTTGTTACAATTTCTAATTTATCGAGGTAAATAGTCAAGAAATCGCTTAAAATCAAAAGAAATGAGTACAATATGATATACAACCTCTGTCAACGTCAAACGATCGATCTTTTTCATCGACATCCGTTTTCACAATAACTAACTGCGATTCTACCTTGACCTCACCCTGGAATATTTTGTGAATTATGCCTAAGAAAATTCATGAATTAAAGAGTAAAAGTAAACATTTTAATTTTTTTTGTTTTTTAATAACCATTATAATCCTCATAAACCAAAATATACGTCATGCATACTACTATTTTGTTTTTTTGTTCCACCCAAATCTTTATGCAGTGAATTCAAAAACCAACACAGAAAGTCAATTGGATCACTTTGTTCAGCAAGTTTAAACCTTTTATTACTGGCATTAGAAATTTCCTGAAGTAGTTCATGAGGACTGACTTGACCCTTAAATGCTTGGGGATTCCAAATTTTGCGAACAAGAATGCTAAATCGTTGTACTAATAAGTGCAGAAACTTAGATCGAATAAGAATATTTGATAATAGATAATATAATCAGAAATAAATGATTACCCAACTGAGTACTATTTTCAAAATTTTGCAGGATGAAATAATCTCTAAGAGGTGGAATATGCGCCAATGCTTGTATTATCACATTAACATAATCATTGGCTTTTACATTATTGAGGCCTACAAATCCTGATGAGATAAAAAGTAATCAATAAGAACATATATAATCGTGTGTTTTATTAGTCAATTTGTACGTTACCTGGCAAATATTTCTTATTATTTAAATCATACGAGTGTTTTGTATTCTGGTCTAGCAGAGCAACTTGTTCTTCGGTGAATGTTGGATGAAGCACATACTGATCCAACTACGATAAGTACATTTTTTGTGTTGATGATGAGCACAAAATACGTGTTATAATGTCATACCTTTATATCATTCAAGGAAGAATCTTTTACTTCATATCCATCAGGTAAAACATACACCTAAAAGAATCAAGATGGAAACTAATTAAATTTCGAAGCTTAACAATACCTAATAATAAATTAGTTTCCACATACTTGTAGTGTATGTAAATTGATAAAGACATGATGGTCCTCATGCAGACTATGGAAATAAGCGTGTGAACTACGCCCACGCCCTGTCGAAATGCGTATGCATTAGTAAAAGTGGAGCTATTGAAAATTTCCAAAAACTTCACTGGCTGTGCTTCCTTACCTTGAAAATATTTACCGCACACTAAACAAGCATATACATTTAAATTTGATAAGGATACTGAGCAGACTTTTTCGAAATCAAAGTCCAACATATGACGATTTATCTAAAGTATATGCGAATCAACCAAAAAATGTGAATAGTTTCGCGTTCCAATTCAGATGTCTGATCAAACAAAGACTCACCGTATCTAAATATAAGGAACTTGAACTCGAATTAGATGATTGGTTATCAAGACGAGGCCTTTTGGATTCTAATTCAGATTCTTCATGGCTACGCTTTTCGCTGCCTATTGTACTTATTTCAGAACTCATTTCTCGCGTGTTTCTACAGATTACATTTCTCCGATACTGGACAGTTATCGAAAATTGTGTAATATTGCACGCCAATCAAATTACACGAACAATAAGCATTGACATGTGACTTTTTTTATTTATACTTTTGAACTCCCATTTCGATCAGGCTGACGATCATACACTCTTTCTTATCTAGAGGGAACTTGCAACCACTATGAACGAACAACAAAGACCATTCGTGTCGAACGTTACAGGCTATCCAGTGCAATATGCCACACAGCCTATCGCACCGAGGGGAGTGCAACCGACTCCGTATCAGTATCCTCGAATGCAATATCCGATTGGGCAATCGCAGGTTCGTTCGTTCACAGAATTATTTTCTCGCGTCGAATTCCTGCGTGCCTGTCAAAGTTGAAGGTCACGGCAGTTTTGCCTTAATCTATCGTGCCCATTTTGGATTATGCACCATTTGCACCGGAAGCACGGCTTTTTCTTAGTGTAACATGCATCTACGTGCATACTTCTGTATTAAGAGAAAATAAAATCCAAGCTGATGTATAATTTAACCTTTGCTTAAGAGAGCATATATAATTTATTAACACTTATTCACAATTATATTGTTATATTCAAACCTTTATTTCTTTGCAGTTAATGATGAATACACCTACTCAACCTCGCCCAATTCATAATGCTGGTCCGCCAGCTGTAGCGTCTAGCCCTGCAACAGTGGTGCGAAAACGTACGATTCCAGAAACTGCTACTATGAATACAATGAATACACAAGTAAAGTAAGTTTTTTAAGTTTTCATCTAGATCATTTTCATCTCAAATTAGAAACTTAATGCAGACATTTTTGAACAGAAAAAAGCGGGCGATTGACAGAAACATCCCAGAAAAGGTATAAAATTTGATTATATGGATTGATCACTTGTTTGTGTGAAACTAAATTATTTTACTTCACACTAGCTCGATACACTCGTTCCAGAATCACGATTATATACAGAACTCCAAGAGTTTGAAAGAAAGTTAGACTCGACAATTGTTCGCAAAAAATTAGAAATAACGGAATCTTTATCGAAGCCGATGAAGGTATTAAATTTATACAGTTTTTTATCATAATACGTGATCATTGCCTTCGAATGGTTTTTAACACAGTATAATATTGTCAATAGGTTAAGCGTACCCTCAGAGTATTTATATCTAATACATCATGTAATCAGCAACCTGTACAGGAAGTTGAAGGAAACGAGATCGATTATGGTAGTAACATTCCGGCCTGGACATTAAAGATTGAGGGAAGGTTACTTGATGTAAGTTGGTTTAATTCGTGTTGCTATAGTATTTGAAATTTTATATTAAATCCCTAAGATATTTAATTCAGCCTATAAATGCGAAAAACACCAGACCACCTACTCGAAAATTTTCTCATTTTTTCAAGTCCATAATTGTCGAGTTAGATAGAGATCCCGAGATGTATCCCGAAGGCAATTTAATTGAAGTAAGAAGCTAGAGAACCTGTGCTTTTACATTTTTAATTTATGATTTTAACGATTTTATTTTCTGTCATAAAAATTTTCAATACTAACAATTAATTTTAGTGGAACAAAACGTCAGATGCTGATGACGTTGACGGATTTGAGATAAAACGTAAAGGTGACTCAAATCTCAAAGCAAAAATATTCCTAAATCTAGATCAACAGCCACCAAGGTACAAATTATCACCTGAATTAGAAAGTATTTTGGATATACAAGAAGAAACAAAACCAGGCATTATTATGGCTTTATGGCAGTATATAAAAGTATACAATCTTATATTACATTTTAAATTAATTAAAAATGTATGTGCGTACATTAACTGAGGTTGATATTTGCATTTTGTTTTAGCATAATAATTTGCAAGATAATGAGGATAAACGGATAATTAACAATGATATGCGATTATACGGGGTAAAATTCCTAAAAATATTCCGATGTTTATATAAATATCAGATTATAAATTGTCTAATAATCTGATTTTAGATTTTTAACGCTCCACGGATCGCTTTTCCACAAATTCCAGAATTGATAAGCAAGCATTTGGCGCCTGTTGATCCCATACTGATAGAATATACAATTCGGTATGCGTTTATGATACGAGTATGAAAAGTTTGGCTATTTTTGTCGGGAACACTGAAATCGGATGATGCGAAATTTGGGAGCTGTATCGACCCTACTAAAATCCACATTATAAACTCTATCCATAAATCCTAATCCAACTCAAAAAACAAAAAAAAGCTCCAAAGTTGTTTAAAATTCATATTAAAACAAGTTCGAATTTCAGCATCATTCGATTTTAGCAATCATCCCCAACATTCTC